CGCAGGCATCCCATAATGGAGTTCCAGTTCTAATTCTTATTGCTCTGCTTCCAACTCAGCTCCCAGCTAACATGCCTGGGAAAGCAGTGGATGATGTCCCAGTACTTGTGCCTCTACCATCCATGTTGGAGACCCAGATGGAGTTCAAGGCTCCTGGTTTTGGCCTGGACCAGCACTGGATATTGCAGCAATTCAGGTCATAGATAGAAGATATTGCTCTGGTGTGTGTGTGTGTGTGTGTGTGTGTGTGTGTCACTCTGCCTTTCTTTTTTTTTTTTTTTTTTTTTGACAGGCAGAGTGGACAGTGAGAGAGAGAGACAGAGAGAAAGGTCTTCCTTTGCCGTTGGTTCACCCTCCAATGGCCGCCGCGGCTGGCGCGCTGCGGCCGGCGCACCGCGCTGATCCGATGGCAGGAGCCAGGAGCCAGGTGCTTTTCCTGGTCTCCCATGGGGTGCAGGGCCCAAGCACCTGGGCCATCCTCCACTGCACTCCCTGGCCACAGCAGAGGGCTGGCCTGGAAGAGGGGCAACCGGGACAGAATCCGGCGCCCCGACCGGGACTAGAACCTGGTGTGCTGGCGCCGCTAGGCGGAGGATTAGCCTAGTGAGCCGCGGCGCCGGCCCTCACTCTGCCTTTCAAATAAGTCTTTAGATAAAATCAAAAAGAGAGCAGGGGTAGTTACCCTTACATCAGATAAAACAGATTCTAAGAGAAGAATCTGTAAAAGAGTAAGATATCATTTTATAATGAAAAACTGCCAATTCATCAAGAGGATATAGAAATTGTAAAGACCGATATTCTCAATATCAGCACACCTAAATGTATAAAGGAAACATTAAATGATCCAAAGCAAGGGATACAGTGCAACACAATAATGGGAGGGGAGTTCAATACTCCACTTTCAACAAAGGCTAGAAAGATATATAGAAAAAAAAAATCAGTGATAAAACACTGAACTTTGATTACACTTGAGACCAAATGGGCCTAGCAAACATATAATAGCATCCATCCAACAGCAATAAAGCACACATTCTTCACAAGTACACAAGAAACAGTCCCCAGGATAGATTTTATGTTAGATCCAAGTCTTAACATGTAATTCATATCAAGTATTTTGTTATGAAACTAGAATTAAATAAGAGAAGAAATCTGGGAAAATACAGAAAAATGTAGAAATTAGGAACCATTTTCTTGAATAACAAATCTGTTCATTTTTTAATAAAATAAAAGGGAAATCAAAAAACGAAGGGTGAACATTTAGCCTAGTGGTTAGGATGCTTGCATCCCATACTGGAGGACCTGGGTTTGACAGCCATCTAAGGCTCCTGACTCCCAAGACAGACCTTGGGAAGAACCAATGATAGCTCAAGTAATTGAGTTCCTGACACTCACATGGGAGACCTAGACTGAGATCCAGGCTCCCAATTTCAGCTCCCCTGGCCATTGTAGGCATTTGGAGAATATACCAACAGATGGAAACTCTCTCTTATCCTTCTCTAGCCATCTCCCTGCCTGCCAAATAGTTTAAAAAAAGTTTTAATTAAAAAATATTACCATGAATCCCACATGCATATGCAATTATGACTTCTCAATTTAAAATAATAAAATATTTAAATGTATGCTGTTTTAAGCCTCTTAGTGTGTAGTAATCTCACACACAGCAACAGACAACTTAAACAGACTTATTAAAAGTTTTCGTGTATACAGTGCTTCTAAACATAGTTTTCCAAACCTTACTGAGCTTGAAATGTACACTACAGTGAAAATTATGTGAATTTAAAAATACTTATTGATCAATATACTGGTGAATTCATAAGATCTTTTAAAAAATATTTTCAAGATTTCTAAAAACTTAAAATATACAGCCACATATGTATGCAGATAGATTTCATTTAATAATTTTCTAAAATTATGTTTTTTGTTCAAATTAAATTTTTACTTCTTAATAAACAAAAAGAAACTCAAAAGCATTCGCTTACAACTTATTCCACCTTTCCCCACCCCTAGCCACCATATATCTACTACCTGTTAGTATGAGTTTGTCTAGTCAAAGCATTTCATGTAAATGGAATCAGATTTTGTGATTTTTTTTTTTATTCCTAGCTTTTCCTACCAAGCATGATTTTTTTCATGGTCATCCATGTTATAGCATGTATCAGTTACTTTGTTCACTTTAATATCTGAATATTCCATTATATAGATATTTCACATTTTGTTTACTGACTAGTTGGCAGACACTTTATTATTCCCAATTGTGGGTATTTTAAATAAATAATGCTATGAACACTAATGTTAAAGATTTTTTGGATACAGATTTTTAATTGGGTATATAGTACAACAGTTTGAATACAAGTTGGCTTCTTAATGCATGGCAACAGTTAATCCCCAAATTGTAAAGTTAATGGTACTGCAGGGTGAAGAGCTGATCCAATTATGTTGTTGAGTAGCCATGTTTTAGATATTCAGTTATAGTAAGGATAAACTAATACATGCATTTAGGAAAAATTTTTCTGTGTCACATAATAACTCAACCTTTAACTTTCTGAAAAAATACCAAACTGTTTTAAAATGTACCATCTATTTTATTGTTAATAATTCAATAAGAATATATAAATGCCAAACAAGTAGAAAGAGGAAAATTGAGAAGAATAGCAATTGTTTCAAGTATCATAGGAAAAAAACAGTGCAAAAGGAAACAAGAAAGTTAACATTATAAAGTAAACAAACTATTATAGGAATGGTCATTTGGCCCAGCAGTAAAACTGCCACTTGGGATGCCTGAATTCACTTTCAGAGTAACTGGGTTTGAGTCACAGTTTCCCATCTCAATCCTAGCTTCCTGCTGATGCACACACTGGGAAGCAGCAGGTGTGATGGCTCAAGTACTTTTTTTTTTTTTTTTTTTTGACAGGCAGAGTGGACAGTGAGAGAGAGAGAGAGAAAGGTCTTCCTTTGCCGTTGGTTCACCCTCCAATGGCCGCCGCGGCCGGTGCGCTGCGGCCGGCCCACCACGCTGATCCGATGGGGTCTCTACTAACCACAGTGGAGAGACAAAATGAAGTCTTGCTCCCAGCTTCAACGTGGCTCAGCCCTGGCAGTTATAGGAATTTTGGGTGTGAGTTAATGGATGAGAACACTCTGATTATCTGTCTTCTTCTCTTTCTTAAATAAGGGTCAACAAAAATTTATTTTAAAAGACAATTGCACTGAATAAACTGATTGGATTTACAAGTTAAAAGATAGATTATTGGGCCTGTGCTGTGGCTTAGTGGATAAGGCTGACACTTGCAGCGCCAGTTCAAGTCCCAAATGCTCCACTTCCAATCCCATTCCCTGCTAAAGTGCCTGGAAAAGCATCAGAAGATGTCCCAAGTACTTGGGCCCCTGTATCCACTTGGGAGGCCTGAAAGAAGCTCCTGGCTCCTGCTTTGAATCGGACCAGCTACAACTGTTGGAGCAATTTGGGGAGTAAACTAGGTGATGGAAGGTATCTCTCTCTCATTCCCTCTTTTCCTCCCTCCCTCTCTCTCTCCACCTCTGCCTTTCAAATAAATAAATACATCTTTTTTAAAAAGATATATTGTAAAATTCATTTAGTGATAGCCACCAATTAGAATGTCCACATCCTGTGTCATAGTGCCTATGCTTGAGTGCTGGCTCTACTGCTGATTCTAGCTTCTTCCTGTTGCACATACAGGGATACAGTAGTGATGGCTCAAGTGGTTACATCCCTGCCACCCAAGTAGGAGATTCAGATAGAATTCCAAGCTCCCAGCTGCAATGTGGCCCAGCTACAAACCAGGCTATTATGGGCATTTGGGTAGCAAACTAATGGATGCAGGAGCTTCTGCTTGTAACTCTACCTATATCTCCAATTATATGCTATTTCTAAGACAAACAATCCATAACAAGAGACAGGCTATAAGTAAAAGACTAGAAGAGAAAGTACAGACAAATACCAACCAAAAGAAAGCCAGTCGTACCTACATTAGCATGAGGAAAAAAAAGTGAGTCAAAAGAGGAACATCATACATTTAACATGAATATCAATTCAAAATGAAAACATAAATATATAAACATGCAATAAATTAGCATCAGGGGATTCAGAGACCTCCTCTTTCATAAACCCAAAGTAAAGCACCACTGGATTAAGGCAATAGATGTCTTATCACCATTCATTATGGAATCCTTAAGCCTGGCAATCAAACAGCTGTAGCATTGTATGTTACTCACTGGCTAGATCAAATAAGAGGAATATAATTACAATGAATTCTTTTATAATTTATAGTAATTCCCGATTATAGATCTTAAATTAAAAGATAAATGCATCAATTAAGAAAAAGAAAAATTATTTTAATAAATTCATGGAATAACAAAAACTAATGTTATTAAGTGTGGTTTACTTAAAATACATTCTTTAAAAACTGAATAGCTGACAAAAGTAACACGATGATTTTGAATAGATTTATACAAAAGTAAGTCTATAAGCTTTTTGCTTAAATGCCATTTGATGGACAAACTGACATCAACACAGAAAATTTAACTTTTAATAGTGAATTAACTCATATAAGGTATAATGAATATCAAAGGTATAAGATTAATGTTTTCCACAATAAAGGAAAATGTGCTTACAAAGTCTTTCACTTTACCAGCATAATCAAACAAATTTCACTTATATTTCATTTGGATATCATTTTAAATATACATATTGATTCCCTCAAAAGTCATACATATCAGGGGAAACAGTAAATTATATTAGCAGTTAATGGAAAAATAATTTTATGCAATTAAAAAACATTACCAGAAACTGATGTCATTCAGCAAAATTGAATGTATTAATTCATAACCAGGATTTTAGACATCAGCTATAAATGTCCAATTTCAAAGAAATATATTACAATTTAACTTCAGCGTGTTACACATATGGATATGAATGATAAAGTATTAGTCATTTCTAATACAAAATTTCCATATATTTGACAAGAAGATTATGCTCTTACCTATACTTTGGAAGACTTCATTCATCAAAGCTTCATTCACTGCTGAACAGCTGACATTTCCAATATGAGACCAACTTTGATAGATTGCTTGCAGCAGAAGTGTCTGTGCTCTTGTAGCTTGAATTGTAAGATTTGGAAGTTCAAATATACCTTCAGTTATAGCAATCTGAGATCTTTTAGACCTGCATAAGCAAACACAATCCTGTATAAGCAAACACAATAACAAGACAGTAAAAAGGATTTTTAAACACCACCTTAATAAATGAATTAGGATGTATGGGAAATAAGAATTTGCTTTCAAAAGATATTAAGAGGACATTAAGTCAATTAGATATGCAATTGTGCTAATGGTTTCTTTATTTTAGAAATTCATATGAGAATAATGATACAAAAATACAAGCCAGAATAAGGTTCATACACATGTATATTCTGCTCAAGCAATTATAATTTTTCAATCAAGTCAATTATCTAAAATAACAGTAGCTGCCATGGTTGAGGAACAAAGACCCATGTACTGAAGGCTTGACCCTCATAATATTACATTAATGAATAATGGGATTAATGTTAATGGTTAAAGGAATAAGGGTGGAGACTTGATCCAATATGGTGTCTAGGAGGTGTGCCCAGGTCCTTAGAAGCAAGCTCTCACTAGGTGGCTCTCTTGGAAAGATGAGTTATAAAGACTGTGTTCACCTTTAGCTGCTCTGTTTCACAACTCAGCAAGTGATTGTTCCTCTATACCCAATGTGTCACTGTACTGTACTTCCACCAGTTGCCTGAACCAATGGAGCTCCCTAATTTTGGTCTTTGAAACTCCAAAAATATGAGCCAAATTATTCTTTGTTCTTAAGAAGTTTTTCTCAGATATTTTAGTTAAAGTAAAAAAAACTCTAATACATTCAACACTTACAGAGATTTTACTTGCAGATATGCATTGTTCAAATGTCTTGTACATATTAATTCACTGAATTCTCTCAGAATAACTCTGTGTGAGGCAGTAACTATCATTATATTCATTTTTCGGATGGGCAAAAAACCAAGACACACACAGATAAATCCAGGAATTAAATATCATATTACTAAGTAATAAGTAATAAGTAAGTAAGAATTTAAATTCAGTGATATGGATGGAGAGTCCTCTATCCCACAAATTATCTCACAAGGATTTACGAAACATTTACAATATATCCACACCCCTCCTTGATAATAACATAAAAAATGATTTTTAAAATTTCTGTACTATAGAGTTCCCAGAACATAACACTAAAGAAAAGATAATCTCTTCAATAAAGTGTGTTGGCAAAACTGGATATACAACTTCGAAGAACGAAATGAGTTACCTCTCACTACATACAAAAATCAATTTAAATAAATTTTCCAAGTAAGAAAGCCTTAAAGGATACAATTAAATATGTCTGTGAGCAACAAGCTGATATTGAATGTTAATAAACGTACGAAGTAGAAGAAAAAAATGACAGAAATACATAGAAGAACATATTAGGATGCTACTGAGGTTTAGTCACTCCTCTGTTTCATCAACCCCACAAATCTGCACTATTTGTCATTTTCCCAACCGCATCCACACAGAGAGAATACTGGAAATCTCTTGTCTATTACCTCAAAAGCCTCTCAACTCCACTTATTCTAGCCACTGCTCTGGACATGAATTCACAGCAAACATTGTTTGGCATTGCCCAAGGCCACAGTGCAGTGTGAGCATGGTGGAAGAATCTTTGCATTCATGTATGCAGACCCTGGAAGTACAGATAATTGTTTCCCCCTTTTCACCCTCGAGCTGATAATTTTAAGTTGCATTTCACAAATCTCTGATTCAAGAAATACAGGACCTGGGAAGAACAAAGACTGAACAGTTGGACAAAGCCTCAGTGAGTTTTAGATCAATATCACAAATAGAGGTTACTGCAGTCCCAAAAGCATATAGACAAGTGACGGAAGGAAGTAGAAAAAACATTCAAGGAAATAAAGTCCAAATTTTTCTAAGTTTGAGGAAAACTATAAACCCAACAGTCTAAGAAGTTCAACATACTCCAGACAGAACAGACTTTAAAACACAACAGGGTATTCTGTATTCAAATTGCTGAAAACCAGTGTTAACATCTACAACAATTAAAGCCACAAAAACAAAAAGAGTGGGCTAGTAAATTCAGGCGACAGAATAGAATTTTAAGAATGGAATGGGGTAGATGGAATTGGAACCAACCTAAATATAGTCAGGAAAAGAAAAACAAACAAGAAGATGGGACAATAAGAAAACAAACAACAACATGACAGGCTTAAACTCTAAAACATAAATGACTATATTAAATGTTAACTGTCTAAGCATACCAATTAATAACAGAGATTATCATACTGTATTAATAAAAAATAAAATCCTAGACCAAATTCCATTCATAAAAATGCCACATTAGATACAAAGAAAACAGGTCAAAAGGAAAGAGATTGGAAAAGGAAACAGATGGAAGTAAAAAAAAATCTTATAAAAAAAGAGTCACATATAAAATTCAGGCAAAGCAGATTAAAGAACAAAGAATATTTTTAATTATAGAGGGATTTTTTTCATAGTGATTAAAGAATTAGGTTTGCATTGAATACATAATTTCAAAATATATAAAAATAGTAACAGATAAATCCCCAAACTAGCAATTTAAACAATCCTCTCTCAGTGACTGATGGACAAAATAGTTGAAACTCAATAAAGATTAAAAATATCGACACTGCCAGTCAAACTGGCCTGACACTTCTAGAACACCTCCCAACAACCGCAGAATAAACATTAATCAAGACACTATATTCTGGGCCACAAAACAACTATCAATAACATTGAAAAGACTAAAGTCACACAGACAGCATATGCTAATAACAATGTATTTAATCTACAGTCTAGTAATTTAAAGATATCTAGAGAGCCCACTGATACTGGAATTAAATAAAGAAAATATAATTAGAAATACAGTCAGGAACACAGTAGATAAAATTCAGAAATTCACACAAAATTAAATTTTTGAAATAATTTTAGAAAAGGAGTTTGATAAAGGGCAATCCAAAATAACATAATCAGTGTTCCTGTAGAAAAAGAACAAAAAAACTAGCAATTATGCCTAAAAACCTGATTTATATCTACAAAGAACAGTGTATCACAGAAAATACTGACTGATTATTATCCCACAAAAGTTTAAACTCCAAGAAAAATAAAGAGAAAAAATCCATGGGCATTCATGTAAACAAGAAACATGGAAGCACCACAATTTCTCCCTAATTTCCCTATTTTATATTTTTCATATAATCCTCCCTAACCTAGTCTATATACACAGTCAATTTAGGTATACGACTCAACTTTAGAAGATATAAAGGCCGGCGCCGTGGCTCACTAGGCTAATCCTCCGCCTTGCAGCGCCGGCACACTGGGTTCTAGTCCCAGTCGGGACGCCGGATTCTGTCCCGGTTGCCCCTCTTCCAGGCCAGCTCTCTGCTGTGGCCCGGGAAGGCAGTGGAGGATGGCCCAGGTGCTTGGGCCCTGCACCCCATGGGAGACCAGGAGAAGCACCTGGCTCCTGCCATCGGATCAGCGCGGTGCGCCGGCCACAGTGCGCCGGCTGCAGCGGCCACTGGAGGGTGAACCAACATCAAAGGAAGACCTTTCTCTCTGTCTCTCTCTCTCACTGTCCACTCTGCCTGTCAAAAAAAAAAAAAAAAAAGATATAAAGAAAATGGAGTGTTTAGCCTAACAGGTAAGAGGGTAAGAGGTCAGTTAAGATGTCTACATCCCACAGCAGATTATCTGGGCTTGGTTCTGTGCTCCAGCTTCCTACCAGTGCAGACCCTGAAAGGCATGCCACAGGCAGTGGCTTAGATAGCTGGGTCCCTGCCAACCATGTAGGAGAGCTGGACTGTGCTCCTGGCTATAGCCTGGCTTAGCCCCACTCCTTAGAGGCATCTGAGGAGTGAACCAGCAGATGGGAATACACACATATGCACACATATGCTGTCTCGCTCCATTTCAATTAATTAATTTTAAAAAAGAATATAAAGGGATTTAAAACTACCACTCTACATAGTTGAGACACTCATTATCAGCTCAATGTTTATTTCTGTAACTCAATAATACTTGAATTTCAATCATCTTTCAAGTCAATGAGCTTCTTACCTAGTCACTGCTATGGTAGCCAGGGTCCATATTGTTAATAAACCTAATTTCCTTCAGTCAAGATTGAATTTTCACTTTGCAGTTTATAGGCCCATAAATATACAAACTATGATGTTTTGCTGCCATTCTAACTATTTAAGTCTCAGATTATACCTAGCTGTCTTCAAGCTTCATAATGGAGCTATTCTCTTTAAAAAAAAAAAAAAACAGCAAATATTAATTGCTTATTCTGTAGTATTCCTTTTAAGAAATATATTTTGGCAATTTATTTTATTTTTAAAATTTTTTTTGGAGTTATAGACAGTGAGAGAGAAACATAGATAAAGGTCTTCCTAGGCCAGCGCCGCGGCTCACTAGGCTTATCCTCTGCCTGCGGTGCCAGCACCCCGGGTTCTAGTCCCGGTCGGGACACCAGATTCTGTCCCAGTTGCCCCTCTTCCAGTCCAGCTCTCTACTGTGGCCTGGGAAGGCAGTGGAGGATGGCCCAAGTACTTGGGCCCTTCACCCACATGGCAGACCAGGAGGAAGCACCTGGCTCCCGGCTTCGGATCGGTGCATCGCCAGTCGTAGCGGCCATTAGGGGAGTGAACCAATGGAAGGAAGACCTTTCTGTCTCTCTCACTGTCTAACTCTGCCTGTCAAAAAAGAGAGAGGCAGAGAGAGACAGAGAGAAAAAGGTCTTCCTTCCTTTGGTTCACCCCTGAAATGGCCACTACGGCCGGCACTGCACCAATCCGAAGCCAGGTGCTTCCTCCTGGTCTCTCACGCCGGTGCAGGGGCCCAAGCACTTGAGCCATCCTCCACTGCCCTCCCAGGCCACAGCAGAGAGCTGGACTGGAAGAGGAGCAACCGGGACTAGAATCCAGCACCCACATGGGATGATGGCGCCACAGGCAGAGGATTAACCAAGTGAGCCAGGGCATCGGCCCTATTTTAGTAATTTTAAATTGTCAATGGACAAAACAAAAAAAATTAAAATCCCTATCCTTAGGGAGCTTATATTCCAATGGCGAAGGG